GGGGCACCCCGGCGGCGGGGGTCCGGGGGTCCGGGGGTCGAACCCCTACCCCGGCTTTGCCCCCGGGGGCCCCCGCCTGACAACCCTGCCCCCAACGGATTGAAAAGATTTTGGCGGGGCCAGTGTTTTTTTTTGTTTTTTTTTGTTTTTTATCTAAAGGTCCAGGGTGTTGTAGAGGCCAGTTACTAGGCTCACATTGATAGCCGGAAGCTGTCAGCCATGGTTGGCCTGAAGAGGGGAGGCTACCTCCCATCCCATCCTCGCGTCAATACTCCTAGCGCACCCCCTATTAAGGAGAGGAGGAGAGGAACAAAGATTTCCTTACTTTTTCGGGTAATACATGTAAAATATTGACCGTGGGATCACGAGTACTGCATGGCAGGATTTGGGTCACTCAACTGTCACACAAACTCTTTTCTATCCTATCCCATTGCTAGTGGGATCATGCTTCTGGTGGTTGATGGAATTTTATGTCCAGGGGCCTTGTCCCACTAGCGAAGTATTCTACTTCGTGGTTGACGTTTTCGATCACGTGCGACTGGGTGTGATAGACGCGAACCGCACATCTCACTTTGCATCGACGGGCCCGCCTGATGCAGTATACAGTGGTGCCCATGAGAAAGCACCGACCAATGAACTGGCTGCTACTGGGATTTTTTATTAATATTGAGCATTGACGTTGGTCTGGATTTTCAGACTTTTGGAGAAGGGGGGGCTTTTTCGAGACCTTGCGCGTTGCTTTTTACGTGTTGCCGTACTACAAAAAGAAATTAAAAATTGTGGGCAGTTACTATCGTTCCCTCCTACATGGTGGTTTTATTGCAGTCGGGACGTAGACAAGGTACGCAGCCCCAACAATTTCTAGGACTGCTTCCCTGTTGTCTTTGCATCCTCGGCATGGGGTAAATTCGACGATTATATATATATATTATATAACAGAAAATAATCTTGTTTAAAAAAAAATAATAATAATAAATTGTTTGATTCATTTTAAAACCACTTAAATCTTGTCCCTATTTGCGTCGCTCTCGCTCCACAGGGAATCAAGATCCTGGTCGGGAAAGCGGATTCCGGCGGCCTAGTCTTGCCATATGTTCCAGTAGAAGAATTCCCCAAGACAAAGGAACAGATTCGTCAAGCTACAGCTAAATTATTTGTGGGGAAATTCTCGTTTAGACTAATCCCAGGGATCCGGCTAGGAAGGAAAAAACTGGATATCCCAAGGGGGCCGTGCTTACAGTTCCACATGGCGATGGTAGATGCTAGAGTGACTCCGGAAATAGCGGCTAACCTCGAATCCCAGGGCTTCCTTTGGATCCCCCCCCAGTGGTTTGATGCCTCATCTTAGCTGTTTGAAGCCCCGAAGATAGTTATCACACGAGGCATTACAACCCAGGTAGTGGCAGACTTCTGCGCCTCTCTTCCCGGTGACAAACAACCCTGGGCAACCTCATTCAGAAGCCTCCTCCTAACGCCATGGGACACGACACAGGAGGGTGAAGGACCACAGCAAGCATGGCGGAGAAAGAACAGTCGGAACTCGACAGAAGACCGGACCAGACTCGAAGAACCGTGGATCCAACAACAAGCCGCAACAAATCCAGACAATGACAGATAGATTAAGAACGGTCACTTGGAATGTGTGAGGTATCGGTGAGACGTCGGAGCGCAGGAAGAGGGCCCGTCTGAAATCCTGGATACACTATCACAGGATTCAGGTGGTCTTCCTCCAGGAGACCAAACTGGATGAGCAGAAACTTAGGCAATGGGCCAGCTGGTGGCAAGGCCCCCAGTGGTGGGCCCCGACAGACGGAAGCAAAGGGGCTACAGTGATTCTCATTCATCATGAGTTGGAGATGGAATGCCTGGAGGCAGACGTTGACATTTGGGGCCAGTGGGTCCGGGTCCGCATCAGGTTCTCAGACCAAATTTGGACACTCATATCGATTTATGCACCAGCCGTACCCGGGGAGCGACGGTCCTTCTTCACCGATCTGCAAAACATCACTCCAGAAGAAGACAATGTTATTATTGCTGGTGACCTGAACACAGTACTACAGCCAGGGCTGGATTCGCCTGTGGTGCGCCCTCGCAAAGCAGATGCTGTTCTGCTATCTCAGTTTATGGAAGTCCAGGGCTTCGTCGACACATTCCGTGAACTGTTTCCAGACGACCCAGGTTTTACATGGACATCAGCCCAACGTCAGGAAAATCGTTTCACACCACGCAGACGGTTGGACCTGGTACTAACCAAAGGAGAACCCTGGGATGCCGTCGTGGACATGGAGATCATACCAGACCCCATGTCAGATCATGCACCTCTTCGCACAAACTTCCGCCTGAGATGTAGTATAAAGAGGGAACCTGGGTTCTTCAGACTTTACACTGAGCATTTGAGGAACCCAGCAGTGATGG